AAGTCAGCATGAGGCCTGAATAAAGAGAATAGGAAGGCTGCCCATGTGGAGAAAATGGATGGATTACCCCAATTAATTGTAGCTCCTCAAAAGACCTGAGGTCTCTCTTATCTGGATGATTCCAGCTGGGTTTTGATGTTTTCTTTCTTTCTTTCTTTCTTTCTTTTTTTAAAGATTTATTTATTTATTCATACAGAGCTGGGGTAAAGACCAGAGATGGGGAGGGTGAGAGGATTCACCAGACACAGAGTGGGGAGTAGAACAGGCAGACTGACAGAGTACACTGCTGAGGGGAGCAGCAGGCGGGTCAGGAGAGGTCTGCCATGCCATGTGGTCACCTCCGGGCAGGCGGGGATCGAACTCATGCTGAAGTGGCTTTAGCTTCTTAGTGCTGTGCTTTAGCCTACTGCGCCACCAGGGAGGGCCAGGGTTTTGATGTTTTCTTAAGAGAATTTTTTTTTCTGTTTGGTTTAGAAAGACAATCTTTTACCACCTAAAAAGTAATGGCTTTTCCTCAGTTCCTTGAATCAACACAGGGCCTTGAACTGCTGCCCAGAAGCAGAGTGGAAGAAAGGGAGCCAGAGGCAGGAACAGGTAGCACTAGTAACTCCTCATGCAATCCAGCCTATGATGGTTCTGGAAAAATACATCCTGATGGATCAGGGGTCAAAAAGGGAAGAGACACAACATCCTCAATCTCCTCTCTGTGTTAGTCACAGAGAATCTAGCCTTGTTAGATGTTCACCTCTAACAGTCCCGTTTTAGCCCCACACTAATGTGGGTTCACACTCAGGAGTTCTAATCCTCACAGTAACGCCGTGGTAGACACCATGGGCCATGTCATAGGTCACCGGCTCTGAGATCAGAAAACCCACCCAGGGAGGTACAGACGGAGGCTACCAGATTACCAGCAGTAAGCACCACCCTTTGCTGAAAGCCTGCAGAGTGCCAGTTACTTGCCATATACATTTTTTTCCTGAAAAGATTTTATGTATACAAATGGAGGGGAAAGAGTCTGGTCTATATTGGCTCAACTGCTTTCTCTTCTTTTTGGCATGAACGTGTGTTCCAACCCTCTTCTTGGTGAACTTGATTCCCCCTTGTCCTTGGAGACCTCGGGAGGCTCCATGGTGGGCCGCTCTTAGGGGGCAAAGCCGCACACCTCCTGGGTCATGTCCCGCGAGACCTTGGTCAGGCGCCTGCGTGCGTCCACGGCTTTCTCTCACCTGCTGGGTCCTTGGTGACCTCATGCTCTTGTGGAGACCACGGCAGCGATGGCTACTGCCATGTGTGAGTGTGTCTGTGTGTGTTATGTCAAGTTTCATAACAACCTTTAAAGCAGTGACTTTAAATTTACTGTGACCACCAATTAACAGATGAGAAAACTGAAGCTGAGGACATTTAGCGACTTGGCCAAGTAGCGGAGAGCAGGGTCCCTCCTAGGATGGGGTAGGGCGAGTGGGGGCGGGGTGTTAGGGATGACCAACTCTGTTCACTAGTTCCTTTCAGTCAATGAAAATATCTCAAACCTTATGCCAAGGGTTTGTAGTAAGAAGCTCTTGATATTTCACAGCCCTTGATATTTTCTTCAGGAATCCAAATTCATTATCATATACATCATTATTTCTAACAATAGAAATATAAAAACGTTCCAATGCCTCTAGTACAGGTGCTATACGACAGGGGAGGGGGGTGATAAAGATTCTTTAAACACAGGATTTTTAGCTTTTTGAAAGAGGTGCAGTGGGAAATTTGGGGATGAGAATCATCCCTTATCTTCACTGAAAATCCTCATTTTTAAACGAGAATCCTCCCTGAAATACAAAACTCTGTAGGTTAAACTCACGTAAGGGTGCCTCAGCCAAGAGTTAGCAGAAGTGATGGCCAAGGGCAGATTCAACAGAGGGGTTCTGGTGGACAGTGTGTGGAGCTAGCTGGACCACAGTCCAGCTCGTGATGAACTAGCACATTCAGAAGGTGAGAGTACAGGGCTGTGTTAGCACGCGGTTTTCGTGTAACATCAAATTTAGGTTGTTAGAGACACTTCTCGATAAAGTAGATCTTCTTGGCTGGTGGTGGTTTGCTCACATCCTCCCCTTCTCCTGTGATCCTCCCCTGGGGCTGAGAATCAGGTCAACTGATAATTCCAGTGTTCAGCCTCCTCTCCACCTCACGGGGACCTTGACAAACTTCCCAAGAAGCTAGATGAACTGGCTTCAGATGGTTACTTGGTCACCTAGTTAACCTTGGAGATGTCCTCTAAACTCTCATTTCAGTGTCTACCCCTCGGGTTGCTGGAGGATTAATAAGATGGTACAAGTAACGTACTTGGAAGCCTGCTGAGGTCACTCACCCAGCCCCATACTGGCACCCCAGGGACAAACCCTCCAGACTGGGAGATTGGGGGTGAGGATGGGCTTGGATGGACGCTGTGGTGCCGGGCATGACCCCTTGCTGCAGTGATGGTTGCCTACCTCTTTTTCAGGCCCCAACTCAGACAGGGAAACAAGATCAGTCCTGAGAGATATGTCTAACATGGCGACGGGCCCCATGCCACAGCCACTACAAGACTTCAACCTGAGAACTCTCCTTTCGAGGAGAGCAACCATCCTTGCTTTCCAGTGTTCCCGTCCTCCCTCCATAAGTATTCATTCCCGTTATTATTATTTTCATGGGGTGGGGTGGGAAGACTACTTTTTCTTTAAATGTTTCCTTTAATTGACACAAACCAAGACTATACAATGTCTACAGTACACCACAAGGTTAAAATTCCGTTGTGCACCCCTAGTGGGGTGAAGGTGGGTGACCGCAAGCCATGTTCTCAGAACAATACTGCTAGAGCTAGAGGGGGCCTCGGCACCCACTCGATCCAAACCTCTACCCCATCCATTTTGCAAAAGAGACTGTGGCCCAGCTCTGGGGAGCAGCTTAATTGGGGTCACAGCAAGGCTGGGGGAGGGGGATCCTCCACACCTTTCAGATCTCTCTCACAGAAGCCTCTTTCAGATCTTTCTCACAGAGGCCTCTTGGGGGGCTGTGTCTGTGTCTCATACCACAGATGACAAGCCTCTCCTACAACACCCATGATAAGCCTTGTCTGTGCTTGGCGCCCTGAGGGGATGTAATAGGCAAGAGAACTTCTGCCTTTCCCAAAGTTCTGTAATGTAAACCAAATAGTATCACACTTTTTGAGAATCAAGCGTAAAATTATATAGGTAGCAGGAATTCCTCAAACAAAGTGGAATGGGTGAGCTAACTCCTGGAAAAGGAATCATCCCACCTCAGAAAGAAATGTCTGTGGAACCCCTCAGTGGACAAGGTTGCTCTCCCAGCCCTCCCACTGCAGAGGTGCCCATGTGAAAAAGAAGATGCCACCCTCTACCAATGTGCTCTGAGCATCAGTAAAACTGAGTGGAGTCCCTTTTGAGGCTCTAAACCTGAGATGCCATGTTTGAGCATGTTCCTGGATGACTGTTTACGGTTTGGAAAGACAGAGTTGTTAGCAAGCTACCAGGCAACTCCTGGCCTCCTCTCAACTAGCAGATGAGGAGGCTGAGAACCTGAACTGCTGACCTGCATGTGTGTTTCCTGTCTTAGAGTGTTGTAGAGATATGCAAACTCACTGGGAAAAAAATTTAAAAAGCACAAGAAAATAAGAATCAGCCATAATTCTTCACCTCAGGTATAACCCATTGTTAGTAACATTCTTCCTGTTATTTTCTAGACGTATGTGTAAAATATATACTTTGTTTTTTTTTTAAAAATGGCATTGCACTTTGCTTTTACAAGTGACTTTAATAAACATTTATAAGAAACTTGTTAGTGGCAAAATAATCATTTCATTTTTGGTGGTGTTATCACTTATTTAACTATAACCCAGCATTTCCAATTTTTCCACATTATAGTAACATATGAGAATTCTTTAGAATAAATAAAATTATTGGATCAGCTCCTACTTCCTGCTCAGACTCCCCATTTTTCACTCCAGCTAAAATAGGTTAGCCTGTTCTTGCATTATTTCTTTTGTTTTCTTGGTAATAGATGAAATGATAAGTCCTCTCATAGTAAATCGTGAAATCTTCATTCTTGTTGAGGTAAAATATACATAGCAGAAATGCACAAATTCTAAGGGTATGACCCCAAGATCTCACACAAGAACAGGCTCACATAACTAACACCAGGTCAAAAAAGAGAATTTCCCTTAACCTCTGGGAGGACATTCCACATCCTTAATTTTCAAAAACCAAGATAATTTTATAGAACAGAAAGCAAAAGGATAAGCGTTCCAGACAAGAGAAAGGAGAAATGAAACACGAGAAATTTACCATGAGAGCCAATTTAGCTCTCACCCCCTCCTCTGACACTGTCCTGCTGACCAGAAGTAGGGATACCCCAGGTCTGACGCCTAGCTCCAGGCCATGACAGGCTCTGCAGCCTTCAGCGGAAACACGGCCTGGGCTTTAAGCTGCTTCTGGATTCCCTGAAAGCGTGAGGAAGAGTATTCTGCTATGGGCCCCTTGCCCCCCACGGGAGAGACTCGTGAGGATGGCCATGGAGAGTCAATGCCCAAGAGCCGCCGTCAGGGGGAGACAGCAGAGGGCATTCGGTCATGGGTGGCATTTTCTTTTCCACCTGCAGCTCAGAGGGGAGAAGCTAAGGAGCTCCCTTGGGGAGGCTTCAGAGACGGTGAAATATTTACTGATCATTTCACACCCCCCAAAAAGAGAATTTCATTTACCACAAATAAAATGAACAATAATTTGGAGATTAAAAACATCACTGTAGGAGGAAGTATCCTTGTGCTGGCTCTCAGGAGGGGGAGAAAGGAGAACACCAATCTGAAGCAGGTGAAGGCGAGCTGTGACTTTCCATTCCCACCGTGCCACGGCAGACATGCAACTGTTTGTTCCACGTGTGGGGATGGAGCACCCAGCAGTTCAATGCTGGCAGCCTCGAGTCCAACAGTAGCATTTCATTGGCTAATCTCCCTTTTGAAGCAATGTCTTTCTAACTCATCCCAGGTGGAAGATGCTCCTAACAGTTTTGGACCCCAAGGAACAAAGAGCAGAGAAATAAGTTCTCTACTAAGTTGTGAACTTGGTTATCAGCTGGCTAGATGCCGCCCCATTGTGATTTCACTTAATATTCATTTAGCAAAACCATAGCCTATTGGTGAGAGAAAAAAAGACAAATGTGTTCTCTCTTTCCCCTAGCTGTTCAACTGCTCTTATTTTATGCAAGCCCGCCTAGAATCTCAGAAATCCTCTGGGACTGTTCAACCAGTGGTCGGGGTCTCCCTTCCTACCAGTCAGAGGCTGTCCCCTCCCTCTTGCCCTTGGGCCTGTGTGCAAAACCTTCTCTGCACAGTGTCCTGACCTCCAGACAGGTACACTTGCTCCTAAAAGCGGTGTTTCTCCAGCAAAGGGGCCCAATGCAGGGGTGCTGAAACTCACTTCCCAGCTCTGCTCCTTCATTAACTGTGTTCTCTGAGTACACACATGCCTAGCTACCTCAGTCTCCAACACTTGTAAAACGGGAGTAGTAGTAGTTGTTGCATAAAAGGCTACTGGGCAGGATGAGTCCTATGTGTTTTCTAAGTGCTACATTAGCATTTCAGTAGCTCAGTAAGAAAACAATAAATTAATGCTGAAAAAATGACCTTGTGCTGAATTTTTAAAAACCACTTTGTAAAAGTTATACTCAGAATGACTCTGTGTTTCAGCCTTCCCATTTCTACTCTCAAAAAGGTAGGCCGTTAGGTAGACCCAGGGACCTCAGCTCCCCAGCCTCTGCTCTGTCCTCTGAGCTCCCCTTAGCCCAGCATCCTCAGTGCCACCATCTTGCTGTGGTTGGCAGCTGTTATGTCCATCTTGTGCACAAAAAAGTTTCACCATCCACAGAGCAGGTGGAGGCCAGCAGAGTAGGAAACACATTTGGTCATGTCAGACCCTACTGAAAAGTTCATCCCACCCGTCTTCCTCATCCCACACCAATCCCCAACATCTCTTTCCATTACCTCTTCGCTGATAATGATCTGCAGATGTCATTTATCTTACATTTTATTGACACAATAGAGTAATGGCTGCCAGTTATTTAGCACTCCCTACAGACCAGGTAGTTGACTTAGGCCTCATCAAAACTATGAAATCGAAACTATTGTTCTATGTTCCGGATGAAGAGATAAAAGCATAAGGAAGTTTCTATCAATTGCCCACCACACTAGATTCTGGTGGGGCTGGAATCTGAACCAAAGTCTAAGCCCAGACTTTCAAAAGCTCTGCTTTATTGAATATTTTAGCCTGTCTTTAATTTTTAAAAAGATTTTATTTATTCATACAGAACTGGGGTACAGGCCAGAGGTGCCAGAGCGGTGAGGATTCACCAGAGGCAGAGGTGGGGAGAATAGGCAGAGTGCCTGAATTACACTGCTGTGGGGAGCAGCGGGCAAAACAGGAGAGGTCTGCCGTGCTGTGTGGGTCACTTCCGGGGCAGGGATTAAACTTGCACTGACATGGCCATGGCTTGGCTTGGCTGCACAGTGTAGCGCTCCAGTGCAGGGCTGCCTGGAATGGTTATGATTGGAAAAAGAAGTGAAACTAAGGCATGTTAACACAGCAGAACAGAAAGATGGGGAGGCTGGGTGTTTGACATGAAAGCATCACAGAAACCCCAAAGCCTACTGCATACATATGCCGTGAACTAGTGCTCTCAGGCAGACAAGCTCCTAGCACGTTTCCTGAGCTGCCTCTGAAAGTTTTCATGACAATGTACCAATATCCCACATAACTTTTCTTCAGGGCTGATTCGTTCACTAATCAAAAATAACAGTCTTGTACTTAAGAATGAAAGGGAAATTTAATTGGATTCCTACTCAGTGAAGAAAGGGAAAGCCACAGAAGTGTCTTGAATGTTGACAAACTCCATTTCCTTTTAAGTGGCATTTTTTGCTTTAGAGGAGAAATGACATCAAAGTCCATTTGAATGGCAGCACCTGCAGAATAGCTGGAAGCAGCTTCCAACGAAGTTAAAAGCCCAGTCCTGACCGGGAATTGGCAGAACATTATACAACACACTCCGTATAGGAGACCAGCGTCAGAAAGGAGTTTGGTGGTTAGGAGTCTGCGTGGACAACAGAGATGGGAATACATGTCAAAACACTACACCAAGGAAGCCCATCCCTTGAGACAAGAATAGTGTTTCCCTAAAAAGAGCAATGACTTTGTGGGACAAAACATCTTGCTGTATGTCTTTTCATTACATTTTTCATTTAGATTATCTTGTCCTGAGATTTGAGACCAAGTCCTGCCCCTACAAATACTGTGGGTACCCTGAATTCCCTACTGTACCAGCCTTGCTGGCTGTTGCCTGACCCCCTCCTCTCGCATCCCACTGTTGGGAGAGTAGGCTTTTAAGTACACAACTGAACGTCTCTCTCTTCCTCCCCACCCTTCTCCAGTACTTAGGTCTGAACAGGTCGCTCCATCTTTGTCTTAAATGCAAGGTTTAGACTGTGCATCTTAACTCATTAGCAGACCATGAATTCAACGTAGGCTTGAACATTAAATGAGAAACAGAAATGCATGTACATTGGCAACAAAGGTTTTGCAATCTTTGCTTCAGAACTATAAATGTGTATACAAGGTTATGAAGTTTGACTGGATGTCAGGAAAAAAAGAGGAAAGCACACCTTCTGGAAAGTAAGATTTGTTTGCCAGGATACGGCTTTCATTGTTTCCTTAGTGGGTGGGGAGCACCAAACTACTGTTTTGTCTAAATACTCATTTTCAGTCTGTCACTGTAAAAATGCATCGTCTTACATTTTTGGTGTTCGTTCTTCCCTGTTTTGTTGAGAAGGCGAAAGATGCATTTTGCTATGTTGCAAATACAGTATTCCCTCAACTACCTGGGCGATTGAGGAAACACTGACTTTAAAAATAGCTATACTAAAGAAAGTTTCAACCACGCTAAATTTAACTCTGCCCAATGACTCAGGTCTTAGTCACCAAGGAAAGGGGTAAATTTTCTTCAGTACATGTGACTCCCATCTGCCACACCGAAGTGGGAGGACACTTCATCAACAGCGAGTATCCAGGAGGCACCCGCAGGGAAAGCCGGTGATGTCCCAGGCATCGAGGTTGCAGCTCAGGAGGCTGGGCTAAGGCTTGAGATCCAGCATTTGTCCTCTGCTCGCAGGTGGTTCCAAGGCTGCCGAAAACAAGAATCCTACAGAGTCCCAAATACGTTAGGGAGATGTGGCAAGGACTCAGGCCTACCCCACCAGGCCTTGTCTAGAGCAGGGACTAGTCACACACGTCACTGGGTGGGACTCCCACTGGTTTCCACAGGTAGGAAATGTTCAAAATGCAAATATAAATTTTAGAATGTAAAATATAACCTGAAACACCCTCTAAAAAATACACAAAAGCAGCACAGATGACTGCTGTCTACCTACCACTGTAGGTCCTCACGCAGAGCAGACAATTCAGTGTCTGTTCCTGCCTGGCAGTGCAGAGTATGCGACTCAAGCCCTACTCCAGCAGCAGCCTGGTAGAGCAGTTCTGGGCTTTCCCTTCCCAGTCACATATCACTCTGCTCAGAAAACAGGGCAGGGCCCCAGCCACCCATAGGATGGACAGGAGACTACAGGAGTCTGCAACCGCCAGCAGAAACGAGGGACAGTGTCAACCGACCTGTTCTCACACTGCTAGTGGCATAGAAACAGGTGACAATCTTTTCGGAAACGCTTTGTGCAGATCCTTAGCAAACACCGGCAGCAATGTTCTCTTCTCACAATCGACACCTCCATATTCCCTCCCCCTCATACCTGTCACTTGTCACATTTACACAGACTAGTTCCACAAAGTACTTTTTAAATGTGCATTTCTTTAATTTTTAAAAATATACACAGGAGAAGCCATGTGTTTTACATAAGAATACACACATTAACAAAGCATCTTAATTATTCAAAATTCTATTATAGCAGTCTGAAATTTATAAATTAAATATAGCATAATGTTTTACGTTAAAACGAAATCCCTGAAACTACTGGATATACTAGATTTTTTTTCCAAAGTCAAATGAACAGAGAATATGGTTTGTGTTAAATAAGGTTTATTGTTAGCATTATTGCCTATAGTCTATAAGATGCAACTTTATTGTGCCTTTGCAAACAGGATACATTTCTTAAAAAAACTGATCAAAATTTTCCATACATATAGCTCTATATGATAGATTACAGTGCAACACTAGTCTTGTTACATAATTATAGAAATACTATAGAACCCAAGCGCACAGGGTAAGCAAAAGAAATACAATCCTGAGCCATCTGAACAAGATGATCTGATGAATCCATTTAGTGTTAGGTTTAGAAAACAGAGAAAAATACTACATGCACACTGCAGTCATGAGCAAAATACATTAAATACCTGTGCTTGCTATACACAGGTGGGAGAAATGGTGAATCTGAGACACATGCACACTCACTCACGCCCATTTTCTTCTCCTGCTTCCCTCCCATCCCCATACATTCACTCCTACCCCTCCCCAAAGAAAAAATCAGGCACTAAATACCTAGTGAATCCCACATCTGCCTTGCCAGAGAACATGAAGTGACTGCTAAAATAGAGCGTAGGTCCTCACCCCTTAACATGAAATGAAGCATGTGCTATAAGCTAATTCCAGCTGCTCTTGCCTCTTTGGAAGAAGTAAATGAAGCATATGCTCACTACAGCTTAAAACTAGTGGGAAAGCTTTTGAAAACAAAACTTTGTTTTCTCTACCTCTGTCTTGAAGTAAAATCAACAGTGGAAAACTCTAAAACTAATTGCCTCATCTGCTATTAAAATACATTTGTCATTCTATTTTTGGTTTCTATTCAATTATAGTTCAATAAAAAGTTTAAGTTTTTACCTGCTTAAGGTAAACACTATTGTACCACATAAAACCTGCCACAGCGGGACAGGCATATGATGCGCCAAAACCTTCAGTGTTCCTTGCACGTATTTCCTCAGGACCACATTATTCTAGTCTTACCAAAGATAATGTACATTAAGTAATGAAAGATATTTTGGTTGTGTCTTCATCTTACACATCCTAGTGATGGAATTAACCAAACCTTGTCTCCATGCCTTCCCTGAAAATAACCTGAGTCTGCTGACTAAGCAGTCTGACTAGCATGCCGGCCAGTCCACTTAACCAGAGGTTGAACTGGAAAACCAGTAGGGTAACAACGTCTACCAGCAGCGTGTCTTGTGAGGACAACCAAGAACTCTTGGTTTCTGCAGTATCTATTCTCCTAAAGGCTCTAACCACTGGGTTGGAAAAAAAAAACTCACAGTAGAAAGAATACTGAATTTTAACTGCATAATCTGTGGGACTACCTGGAAAGAAAAAAAGGATCCTCTTTTCCCACAGAATCTGGTATGGGTTTTAGTGTCTCTGTATAAATCAGCTGCTACAGAAAACCCAAACACAAGATTTACTTTCTTTTTTCAATTAAATGCTCATACACTCACAAAATACTCACACACCCTATGAATATGAGGTGGCTCTTTGCTTCAAATTTTTTAAATCAAGAGGCACCAATACCCGTTCATTTATGTATTACAAGTCTCATAGAATCAAACACTAAAACAGCAATGGCATCTGTGATGATTACACAGAAGAGAAAAAAGATCAAAGACAACCTTAGCCACTGCACTTCAGATTGTGCTTGCAAGCACAGATGCTCTGGCTAAATCAGAATCTTATAGTAAGGTTTTATTGGTTTCGCATAGTTCCATGGCCTTTGTCCACAACTGATACATGGAAATGGCTCCTAGGAAACCACTCTGAACTGGTTTCAATGTATATCACTATTATAAGTTTGACTGTAAAAAACCTTGGCCTATCACGACCCTCTGTGAGGGGGGTGGGGGGGGGGAGAAAGACACTTCCTGCAGTGCTGACACACAGCCTCAGTGGCGAGGCGTTCCTAAAGCCTTTAGTGGAGGAGTTTCTAGAATACGAAGGGCAGCACGTTTGTATTTCAGCATCTTTGGTTAAGGTCCGGCTTCTGCTAATTCACCTCGCCTTCATATTTAGTCACCAAAGAATTTTAAGTTTATGCACTGAAAGGTCGTAAGACATTGTTTTCACGCTAAGTTGTCAGACTAGTAAGAGTTTCAAGGTTTTGGTCCCTAACCTAGTCAGGTGGACCTTATACAGGAGGCTATAAAATTAAATGCTTCAGTTAAAGCATGTTCTTTTGAAGTTTCTTGTGTTGCACAGAAAACTCACAGGATTCCCGACACTAGGGAAAAGCAGGGCTCTAGCTAGTGGCTGAGCCAACTCTGTGAAGGGTCTGGCCACCAAAAATATTCACCCCAGCCTCCAGCACAATGTCTCGATTATTTGAACTTTGTGTGAAGCCTAAATATTGTGTAGGTGTTTGGGGTGGGAAGGTGGGACTAAGTTGTGAATAAAGTTAAGTCTGGCCTATCAAGAAAACATTTTTAAAAATGATAATACTCTGGATTTTAATTCTAAAGAAAAATATAATAAACCAATTTTATTTCCTCAGAGTATTGCCTGGAATTCTCTATTTTCATTTTGGAGTCCAAGGAGTTTCTCTTGCTCTCTTTCTTCAACTGCTTTAGTAGAGAGAGGGGAAACTTCACAGAGATTTCCAACAGGAAAGCAGAGACTTACAGCAAAACTCACTGTGAGGCCAAGACTGAGGCTGCATAAAGCGAGCATTCTGACCAGGCCAATCACAGCTCCTGGCTAAACTACAGTATGCACAGAAGCCCTAGATACAAGCCTGACTCCACACACTGCAATCCAGCAGGTTTTCACTGAGGAAACACTTTCCTTTACAAACAAATCTCAAGCTCTCACAAGTAAACATTTCTGGATAAACCATCCAAGATCATATACTACTGCAAACACTGCCAGTCTCCAATTAACTTAAAACTGGAACTATTATCTCCCTTCCACCAAACCCAAGTCAATCTTATTTTACAATGTGAAGTGTCACATTCTGCTTCTGTGTTTTCTTCTTTTTTCATAGTCTCATGGAAGTTTTCCTATACTGATATCGCGCTCCATGTCAGATGACTGAAGTTGTGAAGTATTTGGTGATTTCCACATAACATTCTTTCCATAATGAAGTAACTTCATGAGTTTAAGTCAAATTTATGTTGACAGAAGTCTTTTCCATGTAGTTCATCATACAGAGAAAGACTCTCACACATGGCTATTTCTGGACAGTGCATTAAATGAAGATTCCTCACAAGAGAAAAAAATCATTCATTATCTGTATCCATTAGAGTAATATACAGATTCACAGTCAATGAGATGACACACTTTGCAGAAGAGAGGCATTAAACAGTGTACTATTCAAATACAAAAACAGCAATAAACATATTCTGCGTGACAGAAAATTTGCTAGCTTCTAACTTTAAGGATTTAAAGTGATGAGTCTGGTAACTGCATTTTAGGACTGGAACATGCTTCTTCCCTCCCAGATACACAATGTTTGATGCTGGTGCACATATACATACACACACACACAACACTGTGTCTGCAATGATATACAAATGCAATAAATAGCCAAGTCCTAAAGGCAGATTGCAAAGAATAGGGCTACTAAAACCAAGAAAGCAAGTATCAACTTAAGAACACTTCTAACTTTAGAATTTCATTTTATTGAACACACTTTTTTAAAGAGCACCCCTTGGCAATAAAAGCAAATCAGAAATAGTACTCCTTCCGCTCTGTTTTGGCAGAAGACTTCTCACAGCAACCTGCTAAAGTAAGGATGGAATTTCAAACAGGGAGCCCATGGGGGCTACAAGCAGGGCTCAAGTGCAGGTCTGCTGACTTCTCGGTGAGCACTGGAGCAGAGGAAAACATCAAAAAGCAAATTTTGGAATCTAGCACAGCTTTCTCTCTTAAGCAAAAAAAAAAAATACAAGTTAGTTTATAACCACAATTCAATTTTTCAAACTTTTTCTGAAGAATTTTCATTTAATTATGCATACATAACAGGAAATAAAACTTTTCCACAAACATTCTCAAGGCTTACAATTATTAAGAAAATGACAAAAGTAAAAGCAGGAGAAATATTAAACACATGGCAGGTAGGTCAATTTCGGTTTCTGCTCTTAAAAAGTAAAAAAATCACCATATAATTAAGTACAAAAACCTGCATTGAATGACAACTGCTGGTGTATTTACTTGATCAGAAATGAAGACCAAGAATATAATAAAGCCCTATGATAATATTCATCTCGAGCACTCCCCTCAGTGTACACTAAAATGTTGGCAAAGTTTCTGGAGCATTAGCTTATATCAACACGGGAGTCCTTGGTTAGCTGCATTAAATGGAACATTCTCTTCTGAAATGCGGCCACAATTCAGTTTTCACTTACAAATTGCTAGTTATTTCTTCAGAAAAATATCTGCTTGGCGTCTCCTGGGCTTTGTTCCATTGGACAGTATGGACATTTTAATCTAAAGGCAAGGAAAAAAACACTGAATCAAGGAACAAGATCAGTGGTGAGCATTCAATTTTCATCTAGTTAGAGTGTCTTCAACAGTTACACATACACATAGAAATAGACATTTGCATTTTGCTTTGAGGCTTAGCTATGCTTTCCCTTAATGTAACAGCCAAGATCTGAAGGGTTATAAATACCATTCAAGCCAAATGAACAAGCCCAAGCCCAAATCAGTGAAAACTGACAACTTTTCTGAAAATTGCTTTTATGGTTTCACAAAATAAATCCATTTTTCCTTCTCCAAGGTTTAGACTGCACCTCTCTCTAAATAGAGTTCAAATATATGGATCCCACCACCCACTTAAGTGCAACAAATGTGTTAGTTGCTGAACCGAAGAGGCATGTAGCCTAGGAAGAATGCAGTAACACACAAAGTCAGCATGGCCAGAACCAAGGTCAAGGTTAGGCTTCCATTCACACCAACCTACACAACCAGAAGCATGGCCTGTGAACAGCAGCCATGGCTTTGTTATATGCCACATCCTTCTTTACCATAGAGGGTCGAAATACATACCAATGAAAAACACATAGGCTTCTTAGACTGTTTTTGAAAAGTTGGGCTCATTATCTTTAAAAATTATAAATGTATATACCCCTTTGAATTAGCAATTCAAGTACAGGAATTTACATACCACATATAGCAACTTAAACACAGTTGAACTTTACTTTTTTTTAAAAAAAAAAGATTTATTTGTGCATACAGAACTGGGGTACAGGCCAGAGGCTCAGGGGCGGTGAGAGGCTTCACCAGAGACAGAGCGGGGAACAGAACAGGCAGATTGATGAAGAACACTGCTGAGGGGAGTAGCGGGAGGGTCAGGAGAGGTTTGGCACACCATGTGGTCACCTCTGGGGCAGGTGGGGATCGAACTCATGCGGAAGTGGTTTAAGCTTATTTGTGCTGTGCCACCCACTGCGCCACCAGGGAGGGCCAAACTTTACTTTTAATTTAACAGCATTAACAAAAGTAATGCAGGGAACTGGTTAAATTACCATATTTCCATATGATAGAATACTCTGCGTTTTCAAAAAGATTGAAGGCTCTTTTTATAACACAAAAAATGTCTCCAAGACATTACTAAGTGAAAAAAACAGAGCTCAGAATAGTATACAGAATATTATGCTACCTTTTGTGTAAAAGGAGGAGAGGAAGAACAATACATCACATAACCAAAAAATTAAAGAACAGAAGATCATATTTATAAATCTAGTCACCAAATTCATGAATAAGTCACTTAAAAGGATGACAAATAGGCCCTCCCTGGTGGCACAGCGGGTTAAAACACTGCACTAAGAAGCTTGGGCCACTTCCGCATGAGTTCAATCCCTTCCTGCCCCGGAGGAGATCCACATGGCGAGGCAGACCTCTCCTGACCCGCCTGCTGCTCCCCTCAGCAGTGTACTTCATCAATCTGCCTGCTCTGCTCCCCACTCTGTCTCTGGTGAATCCTCTCACCTTCCACATCTCTGGCCTGTACCCCAGTTCTATATGAATAAATAAATAAATCTTTAAAAAAAAAAAAGATGACAAATAAGTTACTAACAAAAGATGAGATACCACCCACTATGCCAAATGAATAATTAAGGAATCTAATTATTCTGGCTATATTTACTTATTGTCTTTGTTACTTCTTATCCTCCCACTAAGATCCAAAAGAAAAAAGCTTTTATTAAAATTTAAAAAACAAGGCACTTACTTGCTACCATTAAACATTTTATTCAGGGCATCTCTTGATATGATATGACCACAGACCAGTTTCATGGGTGGATTGTTATCTGTGGTTTGCTGACGAAGAATAGGACAGGCAAATATAGAGTGATACCAGCACTTTTTGCCAAGGTCCACTTCAATCTGTTAAAAGAAAGTAAACAGGCTCAAACTGTATTTCAGAAAACCATCCACATGTCAGTATGTATTATGCAGTAAAGAATACTTATGTACTCATCTGAATATAATCTTCCAAGCATAAGATTCAAAGTATTACTCTGTAATTCTAAATTAGCCCTCAAAATTACTTAACATTATTTTTCAAACCAAATTGTATGTCTGAGAGTCTCAAAAACAAGGCTAAGTTCTGGACGTCAACCACACTTGAAAACTAGTCAGGATAAATCTAAGTGTAGTCAATAAGATGCTGAAGTTTTGTTTTGCAGCACACTTAGCTAGGTGACAAGATTCAGGGTAACAATTACTTTAAACAGACTTAATGGGGTTGCCCATGTTTTGTGTGTAATGGCCTAGAGAAATCACCTGAAATAAGGGTTTTAAGTTCCTGCAGGACTTGTCACAATCTGTACCTGCTACTGTATTAATAAGGACAAACACAACCTGTGAAATCATCTAGCGCTGAAGTCAGCTAGCAAAGGACAGGGGTTTCATAAAATGTCAGTTCTGTTTTCTTTCCTTCTAAATGTAAAATAGTTATTGCCATAAGTCTTTTACCCAGACTCTTTCAAAAAAGTTGACAGAAGTGTAACAAATAATCCTGAGAAAACATCAATAGTACACCCCTCCAACTGCTTTATTACCCTGCCACACAGGCTTCCCAGAGCAGTGTGCTCTGCTCTAGCATACAAGTGTTGAAGACACTTAGAACATGACGGGGAACTACCAGATTCTTGCAGGCACCTGCCTCAGCAGTCAAGCCAGGGTGCTGCTCATGTCCTGACCACATGCAGGACTAGGAGTGCACCTGTGCCTTTAATCAAAGCAGAGCTCTGAAAAGAAGCTGGGGCAACCAACCGACAGTTGGGAGAACAAGGTAAATGCAAATAAACCCATAAACAGGTGTGGCAGAAAAGCGGCAAGATGTCAGATTATATTTTAGGCCTTCTGGGCCGCTGATATAACTGTTTACAGAATAATTTCATGCAAGGTTTAGTGCCTAACTCAGAGACCTGGTGGGAACATATACACCTTTGTCTCTCATATCATAACTACTATCAAAACTTGAGGACCTGCTATGTGTCCCTGATTGTTTTGAGCACACCTATGTTATCACTAGCCCTCAGTTGTCTCATGATGGCCCCTATTTTAGAAATGAACAACTATTACTTAGAGAAGCTGTAGAGCTGGCAAGTGACTGGATCTGATGTTTCAAACCATGACTCCCTTCCTGCACGATGGCAGTGGACAGTGTTGCAGAGGGCCAAAGATGGCTGCAGGTACCAAAGGGATGATCTTTACTGAATAGCCATGTACTTAATTAGTATTATAAAAATATAACCAACATAAACCATAATCTCAAAAATGACAAACCAAATAAGCTGACTCACTGGATAGAATCTACTATAGTATGAGGGCTTTGTCACTTGCACTAAAGAGCACACGCATGTTATGTAGCATATTCCACCCTCTCTACTTTTGACATTTTCCTTCTTTAACTTTAACTGCCTCTCTAAATCAGAATTTTAATAGAACTCCTGCAGTGCCTCCAAAATATACCAACTCATTTTTATTGCTGTATATGCACATATACATAAAAGTATCTTCTGTCAGTTGGCTTCAATAATGCTTCCTAGTTTAATAGATGAGAGGCCTTTAAAAAATCTTAACTATTACTTTCTTCTAAAGAAGAAGGCAGGAAAAGTAAATAATCAAGAGAAAATGCAACTCACGGGTAATTCATCTTTCTGGTTCCAAACTCCAGTGCACTGCCTCTGTTCAATGACAGCTTTAATATTAATTAGAGCTGGCAGAGCCACACAACCTGCTGAGAAACTGGGAGAGCAAAAGAGGAAAGTGTCAGACTCGGTCCTGGGAAATGCCAATTCCTCTAGACTCTGTGCAGAAGGTCCTAGCCTCTATACACTCTCACATCTGGAAGTGCTGGCAGACAACTCTCAGCTGAGTCCCTCTTCAGGACTATCCTAGATGAAGAAAGCCACCTAACCAGGTCCATACCTGATGAGTGCTCCACGTGAGGTCACAAAAGTCCAGCCCTGTTACCCCAGTTTGGGACAACTCACTCCCATCATAGCTCCAGAGCATCTCAGGGGTGAGCTAAATGGAGACTGCATCAGAGTCCAACTTTTCCCTTTGTCTAATCTTGCTGCTTTCATGCTTCTACTAGGGATGAACAATAAACTTCCTACATATCAATTTCCACCCACCATAGGTTAATGGTATCCCCTATCTTCAGATGGAACACCATATGGAAATGCCGACTGTACCTGATTCATCTGTGTAGCCCACACAATGTCTGTCACACAGCGGGAATTAAAAACACTTAAGGAATTAAAAGAACAAAAGAACTTAAAAAAAGTTATCTTCTTAAAATAGATTCATATATATTTGGTTTCAGACCTTTTACATGCTTGAATAAGACCCTCAAAGAGCATTTGTTTTTTTTTTTTGTGAGTTACAGCTATCATTATTTATTGTATTAGAAATCAAAACTTTAAAATACTAAGTGATTTAAAAATAGTATTAATTTTATCGTAAGTTATCATTACAAAAATAACTGTTTTCCAAATAAATAAATAAATAAATAACAGTGTTTACAGAAGTGGCACTGTTTTACACTTTCACAAATCTCTTCAATGCCTGGCTTAATAAAGACAGCTGGATTCTTCCATCTTGCTCTACACTCAACCTGTTTTGATGTGTTTGTTGAAGTAAATGAAAATATTTTAGACTCCCACAAATATAACTGCTTCATTATCCTTTCAGAAATTGCAATAGTTTTCTTTAATGTCATAACATGTCGAAGAGTAGAGTTAAAAGGTTAGGGACAAAGTGGAATCTGAATCCTTACCATTGATTTTTCTTTATGCCCTGCTACATTAACACCCAGTAGTCTATCTTGTACTTTCTTAATATTCAAGCATGATTTTTGTAAGATCATACTGAATTAAATCAGATTAACACACTTCATAATGCTGAAAATAATAAAATTTATTATTATCATACCAATCCCATCAAAGAATTCTTTTAAGTATTAGGAATCTGTCAAGCTCAGTGGTGGATACAAATTTTTCAAAATTTAGTTTAAAGCTCTAATTTTAACATCATGGCAAAAGATACTGTCAGTTACTTCCTTGGTTTCATAAGTCCTTTCATTCACTTGAAAAAATGTTCATCAAAAAATTAACTGTGAATAATTTTAATTCGTCCTTTAGTGAATTCCATGAAGAAAAACAAAACTATTACTAGCCCACAGTTCAACATATATGTTTTTTTCCTCCAGAAAGTGCTTTATGCAAATATCCTCTTTTGTCACACAGAATTTTGAAGTTGTGTCTTCAAATTTAATAAAAAATTAGTCACTTTTGGGCCCTCCCTGGTGGCACAGCGGGGTAAAGCACAGCACTAAGAAGCTAAAGCCACTTCAGCATAAGTTTGAGTCCTGCCTGCCCCAGAGGTGACCCACATGGCATGGCCGACCTCTCCTGATCCATTCGCTGCTCCACTCAGCAGTGTACTTCGTCGATCTGCCTGTTCTGCTCCCCGCTCTGTGTGTGGTGAATCCTCTCACCATCCCTGCACCTTTGGTCTGTACCCCAGTTCTGTATGCATAAATAAATCAATCTTTAAAAAATATTAATCACTTTTAATGTTTCATCAAGAGCATCTTAAACTAACACTCTTAAACAGCAAGTTTGTGATGGTGAAAAAATAAAACAGGTTCACTTCCCCAACCCTGCCTCGCTGGTAGATCTTGAGCAAAAAAAAATTGGGGGAATTTGGAGGGGAGAGGCACTGTTCTTCCCAGAAGGCCCAGCCTCTGTGACAGAGGTGGCATTTAGAAAGGATGTCAGAGATGAACATAATGGCTTCAACTAAGGATTAACAAAAGTAGGTTAACTCTAACCTTAAAAGACCTTGCCTGCCACAAAAGTAGCGATAAAGGACTGATCACAAAAATATACGGAGAACTGATGAAACTCAACAAAAATCAAGTAAACAACTCCATCAAAAAATGGGCAGTAGAGCTAAAAAGACACTTCTCCAAAGTGGAAATGCAGATGGCCAACAGGCATATGAAAAAATGTTCAACATCACTCGTAATAAGGGAGATGCAAATTAAAACCACAATGAGATACCACCTCACCCCAGTGAGAATGGCACATCTTCAAACAACTAGCAACAACAATTGTTGGCGAGGATGTGGAGAAAAAGGAACTCTCCTGCATTGCTGGTGGGAATGCAAAATAGTACAACCACTATGGAAAACTGTTTGGAGGTTCCTCAAACTGCTAAACATGGAGCTTCCCTACGACCCAGCAATCCCACTCCTAGGTATCTATCCAAAAGACACAAAAACACTGATTGAAAAAGATACTTGTACCCCCATGTTTATTGCTGCTTTATTTACAATTGGAAAAACATGGAAGCAGCCCAAATGCCCAAAAGTAGATGACTGGATTAGAAAGATGTGGTACATATATACAATGGAATATTACTCAGCAACCAAAAAAGAGAAACAAATGTCTTTTGCAGCAACTTGGATGGAGCTGGAAAAGATCATGCTTAGTGAGATAAGCCAGAAAGAGAAAGAAAAATACCGGATGGTTTCACTCATAGCAGGAGTATAATGGACCAGGTGAGAAAATAACAAAAATAATGAACAACCATATACCAGAGACATTCTGTGGGGGCAGAGTGGGGAATGGGATCAAAAACGGGGGGGTGGGAAGGGAAGGAAATGCACGGGACTATGGTGGTGGCACAGGAGTGATTTGGTGATGGGAAACCCGTGGGGATTACAATCGAGATGGAAAAAAAAAAAGTGCAAAATGATGTAAAAATAAACTTTGTAATAAAAAAAAAAAAAAAAGACCTTGCCTGCTTGGGAGATTTCAAGTAAGTATGGAGAAACCTCTGCCCCAGTCTGTGCTTAGGACCAAACACTTTAGTTCATACTGTCTGTGCAAATGTCAACACCATGGAAAAAGCTCTCAGGGACACCCCCCCAAGGGTTCATAGTCCATACTCTAAGAACCCTGCCAATTTTAACTGTGTCACTGTCAACTGTGATAGTCTCTACTTCTTTTTGGCTTTTTTTTTTTTTTTAATTATTTTTACATCCTTCATTTTGTGCATTTTTTCATCTGGGTTGTAATCCCCGTGGACTTTCCACCACCAATTCACCATGTGCCAAGTGATGGTCTCTTGAAATACCAACTGCACTCTTCTTCAGAAAGACAAATGATCTCTTGGTTTTAAACATCAATAACTGCATAACAAGTTCAGAAGAACTGACCAATGCAGTACATATTTCAATAATAGACAGGACTAATTTCCATACCTGACACTGAGAGGGGACTCCACAGATAGCCCCAGGAGGGCACAGGCATCCCGTGTAAAGATGTCACAGATGTCAGCCCACTGGTTTGCATCAAGCAGGTGAACATATGGTGAGTTTTCAATCCCTTGTCTCAGATACACAAGGCTTCCCATCAGAACCTGAATGTCTAAACAAAAGCAGCAGCAATTTGGAGGTGTGAATGACCACACCTGAAATAAAGTTTGACTTACAGGTAATCAGCTAAGAAAGACAACAATACTCCCAACTAACACAGCCTAAAATAACATCTGTTAAAATTCTGGTCTGTAAGCTTGATTCCCCCTTTTCCATAATTAAAGAATCAGCATACAGAAAATGGGGAGGAGAAGGGAAGCACTAAATATTGAAGTTAGTTAATTTTGTTCTTAGACAGAGCATAATACAATGACCATTATGAAGAGGCGTAGCAATTACACCGTAGTGGGGCCACTGTGTGTCTCTGGCTATGGCACCAACCAGACATTGGAGGTTAAGTGCAGCCACCCTGGCACACCCTCAAACGTCAGACACGTCATCTTGGGATGGGGGGAGGACCAAGTGCTTAACCCACTCTCACCTCTCTTCTTAATTTATTATGGAATCACCAAAAATGCAAGGTCTCTTTTTGACTTTTCATTTAAGAGATCTGAATGTTTTACTTCTTTTTCAAGTCAAAACTTTTTCATGATTATCATCTACAATTGTTTTCACTCTCAAATATGTATTAGATCTAGTTAAAGTAAATTCCAATGGTGGTTGCAGCCTGTTCCAAACATTAAAAACATCTGACTCCAGACTCACCTTTTTGATGATTTAGAGCAAACGGCTGAAAATTTTTAGCATATTGTAATGCCTCTCGTTGATTTGTAGTTCCACCCATTAACAAGCTAATGAAATATAGTCTGTGTAGCTTAAATTCCAAGGAGCTGTTTTGGGCTATGAGCATTTCTCGGTTTGATACTGCCCATCTAAAGAAAAAGCAGAAAAAAATTTTAACTGAATTGAAGAAAAAAGGCAAGGCATGTGAAAAAAATGCTTGAAATGCAGTAACAAAAGAAAAGGGTTTGGCCTGCCATCTTGTGGAAGTTGGTAGTAATTAAGAAACCCTATAACTAAGCCCAGAGAACACTTCACTGTACCTAAGGAAGCTCCTTCAGTGAAAGACGGGGGGGAAAATTAAGTTAGATAACAATTTTATATTTAATAATATTTAACAGCAAGGCAAGACTAGCAAGTTACATGATATATTTAGAATTCTCTTAAGTCACACTTTGAAGCACACCAGTTTTAAATCACTTGGCAGAATGTGTCTATAAAGTGTCGCCTCAGAATGAAAAAAGGGTGACATAAAGCAAAGCCTTATGCCTAAGATAAAACAGGTGATTTCAGCTCTCAAATTCCCCAGCAATGGAAACCAATTGCATGAATTTTGAGGATGGCTGACTTTATAGAATTTGGAACCTCAACTTTAGGTTAAAAGTAAACCCCTTCATGAAACATCAAAGGCCTGGACATCAAACCTTTGTTTTAGACTCCTGAATGTCAACAAGCCATTGATAAAATGGAAAGCTGATCTCAGCACTAGCCTTATGAATGCAAGAAGCCTTTCCAATTCTTATGTGTATGAGAGACAGGGAGTTGGCATAGGGGTATAATTCCAAATTTTAGGAATGTAACCCATCACCTATCTGCAAACTGGACCACATGACTAACGTATGGCCTCCAAGTTTGCAGGCAGTAGCTGCCACTTGTAAACTTCTAAATGAAGCAGAGAAATTTATATCAGTCTATCATTCTGTGTATCCCAGTCCAGGTAAGAACAGCAAAGGGGACTTAAGCTGACATCAAGACATATAGGGAAACATCATGCAGCTCTATTAGATAATCCTAATGTGTAGATTCAAGTCACTAGCTCTTTAAAAGTCTAGCTTACTTGCTCTCAATCAATACAGAGAGTCTTGGGGACAGAATTTTAACTCCTAACTATCTAGAAACTATTGAAACAGTGAATGTGAGCTGACCAGATATATTTGACCAGCTCCTGCACATCTAGAGTAGGAGTTGTTTACAGATGGCAACAGTTTTATGGAACATGGACATGCAGTAGTGATGTTTCCGAACACCATAAAGACACCCTGCAGAGACATCCACACAAAGGACAGAACTGACAGCCCTGACTCAAGTCCTAGACTTAACTCTCCCAAATTAGAGGATGAACATATACCCTGAGTATTCCTCCATGGTTTTACATGTACATGGTGCCATATAGAAAGAAAGAGGCCTCTTTACACTGAGCAAGAAAGGAGATTAAGAACCACTAGAAATCTTGGCCTTGCTAAAGGCAGTAGCTTTGCTGTCAGTCACAGTGATGATGCATTGTACTGACTACAAAGAGGCGGACAAAAAACTGAAAAAGTTAACAGAGCAGTGAACTACAGCTAAGGCTGCTACTCATTCTGCTTTCTAGGAGACACTTACCCCTCTCATGGACTTTTTTGATTTGCCTAAATATAATGACCAGGATGAGGAAGGGGCCTAAGAATGGGGATTTACTAACTTCAACCCCAACTCCACTTGGAGAATGAACCCACATGGAATCATACACCTTCCAGAGGCCCTAGACTACCTTGTGTGAAACATTTACATGAGGGAGGCCACACTAGAATCTATATGCAATGCATATTTAAAGGGTACCTAAAATGTCCAGAGAGTGGCTCAACTACTTACCCAAAGCTGCCATTTATGTGCAAAAAGAACCCTAAGAATGAATCACAACCAAAAGGTACAGGGATTTAGTATCAGGGAAAACAGTGTAGAGACTGGCAAATTTTACAACTTTTGTCTTTGTGGATAAGTTCTCAGGAGCTTCAGAAATTAGCAAACAATGGCTGAAGGAAATAATCCCTTGTTTCAGATTGTCTAATTCTATTCAGAATGGCAATGGAACTGCATTTATTTCATAAGTAAGGTCCAGAAAGTCATGTCTTGCAGACAGTTAAAATTACACAATGCCTGGAGACAATAGACATGACTAAGAGAAAATGAATCATACCTTAGAAAGTTCTTGGCAAAACTGCCATGAAACCTATATATGTTGGGATCAGGTACTGTTCACACCTTCCTTTGGATAAAAGTGGCTCCTCGAAAAGGGCTACATTTAAGCCCCTTTGAAACTATCTTTGGAAGACTACTCCAAGTTTCAATTTTGAAAACTGTACCAGACACCGAACAAGAACATAGGATCAAATAGTATGTAAAACACTTCCAGGAAATTCTAGCTATCAATCATAACTCTGCACACCCTAGGATCTTTGTGCATCCATTCAGATCTGGTGGCTGGATCTTACCTGGCAGAGTGGGGTTGCTAAAGCTCAACAGACTGAGAAATGGTCTGGTCTTTATGATGTTCTGCTAACCACTCATACTTTTTTCAAAATCGTAAGGCCCTGCATGCATCACTTTCAGGGTGAAGAAAGTCTCAAGTGATGATGACCTGGAAATCAAAACCCTTTGGACTTGTGAACCTGTCAAAGACCCAAGATTATTTAAGAAAGAGACAAAAAACTTAAATACTGTCTTCTCTTTTAGCTTCTGTTGCAGGATACCCCAGGATTGACTCCTAATGAACACTGCAAACCCTGAGATAATGAATAAGGCGAACAGCCATGCTCCTTGGGAATTGCTCTAACTAAATTCTCCCCCAAAGTCTAGATTATGCAAGAGTATGTAGGATGGCACCTGAAACCTTATGACTTCAACTGTCAGCAATCCCCAGCTTCCCAGCTTGAGGAATTTGATTGTTGAGTTCATGTTGGTTTTTATTTTGGCTTTTTAATTTTTAATAATTTTGATTTTTGAGAGGCTTTAGTATTAGGACTGATATTTTCCCCTTTTGTCTCTTTGCAGGCAGTTATTTTTTCCCCCCAGGTAAATGTGTGTTTAAGCAAACAAACAGGCTAGTTACTTTACTATAAATAAAACTGTCTAAAAGGCAGTGATGAGAAGAATCTACCATCAGAAAACCAAGTTTTATCCTCAAAAGGAAGCGGAGACAAAACTCTTATGTGTTAGTAAATATGAGTATAACTACAATTTCATTAAGACATTCCAAGTGGGTTAAATTTAAAAAACTGAGGGAGCTATGTGTAGTGTGTTTCTTTCCCTTTGTGTCTAATTATTCTGGTATCCTGAAGATACAAAAAAAAAAGGTATAGACAGGCCTACAGAAATTTTGAGGTCAGAAATGCAATGGGAACTGGTCTAAGTACTTCAAGGAAATCTGGTCTGGAATAATCTGGGGTTAACTATAGGTAGAATTAATATGGAATTTAATGGTTTGGGCTGAAACGTGTATCTATGAAGTAGCTGTGCTATGGAATCTTGCTTTTTCCCTATGTTGTTTGTGTTGGGTGTATATTTCAACAGAAGAGGCAGCCTGAGGTAAACTGCGTAAGTCTGCAAATACTAGGCAAAAGGGAGTTGTGAAGTCAAAGGTTTCTGAAGTTAAGAATTCCAATTGTGGAACTGAAATAATTAAAGTCTGGTACAGGAAAAGGGGTTACATTTGGTATGAGATAACTTAAAAAGATTGGAAGAGTTCTAATTCTGCTAACACAATACTTGCAGACTTTGGTTAGAGATTTGATTATCTTAAAATTGTCACTGTTAGGTAATTAAATGCTGTTCTCTCCAGTACTTATTTCAAAACTTCCCAGAAATTTAATTTTTTTTAAATGGTATCTTCCATTTGATTACAGGAAATTTTATAGAACGTCAGTAGTGCTCCTGTGACATTCCATAAAATTTCTCTTTCTTTATGTTAAAGACAAAGGATGAATTAAACTTACTATTTAACTGGTAAACTAAAACTTAACAGGAAGTACTGTAGCTTAAGAGAAATGTTTCACCTAGGAATATATGTGAATACTAATATTGGTGTTCTAAAATGTATGTGAAACTTCTTAAGTGTGCTATGTTCTGATAAATAATTGCTCACCAGTCCTGGTTGTTGCCGTTCTGGAATGTTTAAGGTATAATGCTGAACAAATTATCCTACCAAGCTATGTGATTACCATATCTTTAATTTTGGTTATTTCAGAATTTTAAAATTTGCAGAAATTGTTTTCTGGTGAAATTAATAGGAAAAACACTTCAACAATATCTTAAAAGTCATTCCAACGATTCAATCCTAATGGAAGTCAGGATTGAGAGTTTTCAAAGTATGACTGAATGGACTTTCACCAAGTTTTTGTTTGAAAAATTTTTTTTCAATTCAAGGAAACTGTTTCTTTTAACTGACCAGCATTGTTAAACTGTATTTCGGGAGAATTAAACAGTGTTTGCATTTTTTCTCTCCTTTATACCATTATAATATGGAAAATGGTAATAAGTACCCTACCTATTCATAGCAATGTATCTATCTTTGCATAATTTTCATAAGGAATTTTACTTGTTTCTCCTTAAGTAGAAAACTTTAAGTATTTTAACAATACCCATGCTTTGTTTGGAATGGGTATTTTGGAAACAGATTGAGCAGAGAAGAAAAAGAACCTGCCACCTTGCCTATAGGATTCCAGACACCTCTCAGGAGAACAGGGAAGCTTATCTCCATAGGCAGGAGTGGACAGAGAAAATCTTTGGGGAAGAGGAAATCTACCCAACGTTGTACAAATGCTGCAGGTGGAAGTCTCATGAAACTGTCCTATGGCATGGTTCCTGAGGCCTGGAAAAGCCAAATGTTGAGGTTGATCAAAGATCCCTTATGGAAAGTTCCAACAAAGTCAACAGAAATTCTACTTTGTTATTCTGTCCTGAGTTTTTCTACAAGTAGATTAAAATAGATTGAAATCAGAGTTTGTTCACAAATATATCTTCGCAGTACTAACAGAATTGGAACAAAGGCAAAAAGAAAATGATTTTAATAGTAGCTTCTCAACCATTTTTGAGACATTTCCTTTCTTTTGGCTTG